TATAAAAATTTTTAAATAGTAAAATAAATTTTAAAAAATTTAAATTAAATTGTATTATAAATTAAAAAATTGCGCACAATACACTTGATCGCGGATGTTTTATATATCATTGCATCATGCGAATCTGCAAATGATTTATCACGTATTTCGTGTGTGGGAATAAAGAAAGCGAACAAGTAGAAACGTGGGGATTTTTACTAGTCGCGCACTATCGCACTTGTAACCTAGTTAATTTTAATACCTCGTAAAAACCGACTCGTGAGCATTGTTCCGATAAATCTGCCGTTTTCATAACACGCGGAATTGCTGCAAATCCGACCAAGACTGTCAATTATACCCTCAAACGCGGCACCGTCGATTGAAATCACCGATAAATCCAGACAAGAATCTCAACGTATACTTATATGTCAATCGTGTGATTAATGTCATGGCCGATAAGAACCTTCCGTTAAAGATTGCACAGTTTACTGGCAAAAAAGTAGGTTCCTGTCTTAGGGAAAATAGTTAAATTTAAATTATCGATTATGATAATCTGCAGAAATAAATTTCGGGCCCTATATATTGTATGTTTAAATTTCTAAATTTCACAGCAATTATTTTTTTATACAATTTTTATATAAATTTTATTATATAAAATTTTTTTTTTTTTAAATTAAGAAATAATTTATGTAGCTTTGACTGCTTCAAAAGAAATGTCACATTTTTCAGATACAGTAGATACAATTTATACTTGCAATTATTCTTAATTAAAAAAAGTTCATAAATGAATAATAGCAAATAAAGGATAAATACTTGTAATTTATTAAGAAGATTGAACCGAGGGTTAAATTTAAATGATCGCGAGCCGATAATTTGCAAAAATACATTTCGGGCCCTATAAATTTCTAAATTTTACAGCAATCATTTCTTAATACAATTTTTATATAAAAATGTTTTAAAAAATTAAGAAATAATTTATGTATCTTTGACTGCTTCAAAAGAAATGTCACATTTTCCAGAGACAGTAGATACTCGCAATTTATAACGCAATTATTCTCAATGAAAAAAAAAGTTCATAAATGAATAATAGCGAATAAAGGATAGAAAAATTAATTAATTAAGAAGACTGAAGAGTTTTGAATACAGAAGAGAGATATTCTTTTCGAAGCATTATATCCGAAAGGTCGTCTTTCCCGCACAGATCGTTTCACGAATATCAATTAAGAGTCCTTAAATAATGTGCAGTTTGCGCTTGCGTAAGCCCGCGTGCATCTTCCTTCGGGGAGAACTTTCTCTTATTCGAATCGAGCGTGAAAAACGCGACGCACGTGCGAACGAGCGGATTCCCGGGAAGATTGCGCGATCCTTTTGTCGAGTGTTTGCGGTACGCGTGAAGGGCAAATCGTTTCTGTGAGAAAACGCGAAATCAAGTCAGTCCGTCTGTCATTAAAAGCGCGCGCGTTTTCGGCCACGCATCGACGAGCACAATGTTTTACCGTATAACTTTCTTCTTCACTGCCGCAATTTCTTTATGTCGCTCCGGTATTGTTTCTCGATATATAGTGAGAGAGAAGGAGAAGCTTCCTTCTTCCGATCCCGTTCGCTTCCGTGAATCTACCCGAGCTTCCTCCACTGCTACTTTTCAACTTCTCGCTACATTTATCGCGATTCTCTTATATTGAATATTGATCTCTTCTTTATACAAACTTTCCTTAATGAGAAACCTTTGATAACCGGATGGACTTTATCGTGGACATACGGTAATGATTGCTCGCTATATGTTCTTTCTAAAGGACTGAGAAAGTCATACAAACAGAACTTAGATGCGTCGATTTACAATTGATTTGGTAATAAAAAAATGGGAACTTTAATTAAAGAATTTATATAGAAAGGTATATTATAAAATATATATTATAATTTTTTTCCTTAATGAGAATCTTTGATAACCGGGTGGACTTTATCGTGGACATACGGTAATTATTTCTCGCTATATAGGTATGTTCTTTCCAAAAGATTGGGGAAGTCATAAACAGAACTTTGATGCGTCGATTTTATGATTGATTTGGTTATAAACAAATGGGAACTTTATTAAAGAAAAATTATATTTATATTGAAAAATATATTATAACTATTTATAATATATATAAAATGTATTATAAATATATTCCGTCTTTTTTTATAAAATAAAAAAATGATATTTATATAGAAAAATATATTATAAATATAATAAAATATATTATAATTTTTTTTCAATATTTTTACGCGATGACTTTGCGAACGATAGCGATTCGCGATGCTTTGACGCGAATAATGGCAAATTAATTTTATACCTGGTATTATCGGCGTGAAAAATCAAAGATCATCCATCAAATTCTATACACATTCCCGTAGGTACGTATGTAGTTACGTATCGCGGAAATGTTAGGTAATGCTCAGGATACAAAACATCATCCAGCTCTCATCCTGATGGCTATACGTAAGTCAAACGCGCGCTTTCGAGCGACGCGAAATATATTATCCAGGAAATATTATCAAAGTAGTAACTCCGGATGAATAATCGCCGGTGACGAGAAAAATCGTCCGAACAAGCGAAGGCGATAAAAAGAGTCCGTTTAAATGAAACAGCGATAAAGACGACGCGGAAGAGAAAAATCTTGGCCGACACTTCGTGCACTTCACCGACAGCGACGAGTGATTTACGGTGCGCTTTCGGATCTTACGAGGATGCGCTGCCGGAGTGATAGGTCGAAATTGGCATTTAGAAAGTAAGAGTGGCTAGACGTGGTGCTAACTTTTATTGGTAGCGAGCACGCGCGTAATCGTGTCGGAGGTTTTCACTTTTATTAAAGGCTATCATGCATTTCTAATACATGGGACACTTACTCAGGGTATATATTAATTTTTCTTTTTCCCTGTCCTTTTTCCCCCGTAATACTGCGTTTCAGCATCCATGATTCATCGTTTAAATAATAGATAAGTGGAGGATTTTTCTTATTGGACGAAAAAGAAGTATATTTGTACATAGGTGATGTAATCTGTTTAACGTAATTTTTTCTCAAAGAAAAACAATATTTTAAAAATTAATTTATTTATAAACAATTAAATTAAACGAATATAAATTATTAAAATACACGGAAAGAATTTTCTCTTAGAATTTACCCTGAAAATCATGGTAATCGTGCGACAATATGGTACTGGAAGAATCTTATAAGAGTTTCTCTGATTAATATTTATCACAATAAAAATATTACTATATACATAGTAAAATATAGTACATAGTAGTACATAGTAATACATAGTAGTACATAGTACAGTGTGCATAATTGTACATATGTACATAGTAAATTTTACTATGTACTATTATGCACACTATGTACTACTATGTACTACTATGTACATAGTAAATTTTACTATGTACTATTATGCACACTTTACTATTTACTACTATGTACATAGTAAATTTTACTGTTACTGTGTACTACTATGTGCTACTATGTACTACTATGTACTGTTTTACTATGTACTATATTTTATATTTTTTTGTGATGAATATTAATCAGAGAAACTCTTATAAGATTCTTCCAATGCCATATTGTTGCACAATGATTTGCAGAATAAATTTTAAGAAAAAATTCTCTCTGTGTACCTACATTTCGCGTAAATTCATCTCGGACGGGACGTGCAGTTGCAATTCGACCGCGCGTGAACGCGCGTCAAACGCTAGTGAGAGCGATTGCACTCTCGACTCGTTGAAAAGAGGTGAAAGTCCGCGAGGCGCCATAACCGCCTAGTGGTTACCACCACCACCACCACCATCACCACCACCACCATGGTCATCTCAGAATCATGAAGCCTCTGTCGAGGGCCCGGGAATGACGCGGGTCCGGGGTCCGGTTCGGTCCCGGCGCATCGCATCGTATTGCGTAACCTAGATGAGCCGAGAAAGAGCCGCTAACTTGTGTACTCACGATACCGCTAGCTTCTAGCGGCTATTCCGAGCCGGCGCATGGTGTGTGCGTCTAGACCGCCATGCCTGCTCGCTTCCGGGGTTTCCCTTTCCGTCTCGTGACTCACGAAGGAAAGCACGAGAGGAGGCGCGCGAGAGGAAGCGACCGCGTCTAATTCGACTGTTTCTTTAGAGAAGGCTCTGATGGACGGGAGGAAATTCCATTAGAATTGTTTCTAATTTTATGGATCAATGTTTTTTTAAGTAATAATATTTGTGTATTGATCAGTTACCAGTGTTTGCTGTTATGTGAATAAATTTATATAGCTGAAATTTTGGCGTCATCTTATCTTTATATAGATAATAAAAATAAAAATATTATCTATATCTGCATCTTAGATGAAAAGAAGGTATTATCTTTACTAAATTATCTAGAATAATTTTCATGGTTTAGAATCATAGCACATAAAAATACTTAAATAGTAGAACTTAAATAGCGAGCGATAAAATTTATAAATAAAAATATGAATACATATATTTTTATATCTCTTTTATAATTTACATTTTTTTATAACTGCATTTACATAAGCAGTCTTAAAAATTATTATCCAGAAAATTATCTAGATGAATCGCTACATAATTTTATCTTTTATTTAGATATATTTAAAACAAAATCATCTTTATATCTTATCTAAGATGAAATTACATATTTTTATCTCATCTTTATTTAGCTAATTTAAAAATCATTTAAATACAACACTGCTTCTTGTTTATGTTTATATATCACTATTATTTGTATTTATATTATAAAATTATTATATTGTAAAGAATACAAAATTAATATAAACATATTTTTTTTAAATACTGTTGAAAATTATTTTAAATTGTTTCAAAGTTAAATCTACGTTTTATTGTGTATTTTTTTTTATATTAGGAATAGATGAATATCTAAATGTGTAAAATAGCCTTTTTTATCTAACGTTTTAAATTATTAAGCAATGCGTAATTTGAGATGCGAAAAGTATTTCTCTTTATTATATTACAATCGCTCACTTTCTCTTTCTTTTCTTTTCAGGTTTCCTTCCATGAAAGCGAAAGAGGAAAAGCATTGGAATATCACTGAAACCGATAAACTGAATAATGCTTCTTCGAACAGATCTTGTAAGTTAATACATTAGAAATATTATTCTTCTTTCCTTCGTAAATAAAATTGTAAGATATAAATGAAAAGTAAAATTTATACATATATACATTCAACGTAAAATAATAGTAAATTTGCCGACACATGTTTCTGAAATAATCAATCATTTTATATTATTTTATACTTATTCAATGTATTTAAAAATTATATTTTTAAGATATTTTTTTAAAACAAATATTGACGAAAGAATCAAGATATTCATAAAGCATTGTATAACTTGTTTAATAACTTTTATTATAATGCTTTATATTTTAATTATACTTGTGTATAATTGTTCTATTATTTTAATTCATTATATACATTGTGACGTGACATTTTGTACTGTCCGTCACAAGGGCCGAAGGCCCGGCCGGGAAGGCGGGAAATTCGGGAACCTTTGCTCTCTCGCCAATCTTTGAGAGAGAGAGCACCCGAACAATCATTTTGCGTTTTCTACCGCGTCGGAGGATGCGCTTCGCGCATCCGTTTCGCGAATTACTTTTGTATGATTTTTGTTTGAGCGATTTTTGGCGTTTTCGGCGAGCAATTTTGCATAGGGTACGTGTCTCAACCGAGGAAACCAATAGAGAGAAAGAGTGAGAGGACGGAGAGGCCGAAGGGGACGATTGAGGACCGAGCAGGAGCCACCAAGTCCGGATCACGCCCGGTAAATATTATTTTCGCACCAAAATTCTGGCTTGCCCATCCCGTTAAGAACCTGGGTACCGCCGTAAAATGTTCCTTCTTCCGCAGAGATTCCGGCCCGAGACGGGGATGGCCACTCTCTCGCGAGAGGCGAGAGAGCCCCGGGAACGAAAGGCGCGGGAGACATCCTGCCTCGAGCCCCACAGATCCGGATACACCGAAATCCCACCATCGATCAAACAATCGATCTGACGGATTTTTGGGAGGAATCGCAAAGAGGTGCCCTCGTAGGAGTCTTCCCGACGGCCCATAAAGAGGAATACCGGAACCCAAAGCGGAAACATAGAGGAACGGCGAGGGAAAATTTACATCAAGAAAATTCGCAGGGCCCCGCGGGGTACCCGGCGGCCCTGCCAGGATAAGGAGCGCCACGGGTGGAAAATGCCAAATTTAGTATCGGCGTGATCCCGGCAGGCCTCTTGCTCGTCACTGTTCGGCGAGACATTCAGGAGAGCAGAGGTTCCTGCGCGGATGCCGAAGCACTCGAGGACCCGGCGATACCGGTGAGACGAACGGCCCTATCTCATATTGTAAAGCCGCTAACTTCTTTCTTTTTGTGAGTACCGTATTCGGGAGAGAAGCGTGTCACGGCCGCGGCCGGTTATTAGAGTCACCGGTAATTTCGTGATTTTGAGAGTTTAATTTAGAGTCTCGTTCCGCGTAGAATTTATCCCGGCGCCCGGCCGACCGCGTGTTCTCTCCCGCGCGTATATTAAAAGAGGCTCTCTCTCGCCCGCGGATATGCCGACAGTCGCCGCGAATTTTGTCACGCTAGTGTAGAAATTAACGTATCGTCTTGTACGTACTGTATCGTTCTCGTCTGGTAGAGTTTCTAGATCGGAGAATAGAAAACTATTTAGAGTCACGCATCCGAAGTAGCGTATTCTCTCTCGCGCATATTCTTATCCGTGCCGTCTTCGGATTATTTGTGAAATATTGCGAGGGACGACCGGCGGAACGATCTCGACGAACGTCGCGCGGGACCTACTCGAGTTTACGGGAATTTTGTATTGCCTAAAACCATCGGAATTAATTACGCCGCACGGACCTTAGTAAGTCTCGTGCGTTAATAATTATTCGACACGTAGGCGTGCGAATGTATTTCCGTGTCCCGCGTGTCGTCCGATATCACCGCGTCGGGTCGTCTCAAAGGCGCGGAACAATAACAACGCGCCGCGTCTCGGCCGTGCATGCGCCGTATTGTATTTTTTCGAATAAAATTTCGGCCTCGTTTATCTGTATTGCGGCGTTATTCAAGCGGAGATCTCTCCGTAATATATCGAACGAATCGTAAGTTTCTTTCGGAACCTATCATCGTACTTAAGTTTCTACTATTATTTTTTTGTCTATCTTTGTTCATCATTGTCTAAATATATTTAATGTTGGTTATATTTGAGCGATTTCAAATAGCCTCTCTCGAATTCCGTTCTCTCTCCCGTCCGAACTCCCCCCTCTACCCCCTGACGACCTGAGCGAGTCGATTGTCGCCGTCGCGGAAATTTTCGGGATGATCTACTAATTATAAAAGTCATTTGTCGAGTTGAAAAATTTCAGAGTGGCGCGGATCCCGCGCCTGGCGCCCAAACAAACATATTTTTGTGTTTACGCGAATTTCCCGCTTTCCGCGCCGAAGGTGTGCCGTCGGCCACTTACATCGGCCCTATTTCCCGGATCCTTTTCGATCCGACGGACAATAAAAAATTTAACGGTTACAACATATATCTGTATATAACTCGGTTCAATTTTGCGATCATGATGTTCAAATGACATTAAAAAAGCAAATTTTTAGTAATGAACGAGTTTTCAAAAATAATAAGCGAATTACATTCGAAGCTTATTTAATGCAAAATTGTCCCTTTAATTCGAAACGGAGTTTGCTCGAACAAACTTTAATTCGAGATAATTTCTTAAATACACGCGGAAAAAATAATTTAATACATATCGCCGTTAATGCACTCTGCGGCGAGTGTTCACGCAACGTGTCTGCTTCTCTTTTGCCGCCTCTGAAGCCGGCCCTTTTTTTTCCTTTTTGAGCTTTCAGGACCTCCCGCGTGTAAAAACACTTTCGGCGTTTCACCCTCTCGTGTCTTTCGCGCCGGATCGCCCGCAGAAATGCATGATAAAACCGTCGTTCGTATCCGTCTTCGAGGGCTTTTACACGATCTCACTCTTATAATGCGCCGCTTAAGACTCGCTGACGCACTCTAAATGCTCGGGCAATAGCTCTCCTTGGGTTTAGAAATAAAGGTGATATTATGGGAGCGATTTACGATGCAAAGCGACGTGTGTATAGGTATGCTATATAGGTACGGGAATTATCGGGACAGGAAATTGAGTTCTCTCTCTATAGGTAGCCTACTACCAGCGAACGATCGAAGGAAATAGTGAAATCACTGTTACATAAGTCTACGATTTTTCATTTAGAACTCATAAATATTAAGATATTTTTTTTAATTAAATTAATTTGTGAATTATTTTAATGACCATGTATTTAGTAGAAACATGCTTAAATATACCTATCAACCTTTTTCTTAATTAGTAATTATAATATTGCCAATTATTAAATCTATCGCGCTTGATTTTAATAAAATTAATTTGATTTTATTTCAAGTCGGCAATTATTCGTGCTAAGCAGTGTTGTGCTTATAGATGATTTTAAAATTAGCTAGATAAAGATGAGATAAAAATATGTAAATTTATTTTAGATAAAATGAAAATGATTTTGTTTTAAATATATCTAAAAGATAAAAGATAAAATTATATATGGCGACTCATCCGGATAATTTTCTAGATAATAATTTTTAAGACTGCTTATATAAACACAGTTATAAAAAAATGTTAATTATAAAAATATATGTATTCATATTTATATTTATAAATTTTTATCGTTTACTGCGTAAGTTCTACTATTTAAGTATTTTTATGCGCTATGATTCTAAACCGAAATTATCTGAAAATTATTCTAGATAATTTAATAAAGATAATATTTTTTCATCTATAAGATGTCGATATAGATAATACATATTTTTATTATTTATACAAAGATAAGATGACGCCAAAGTTTTATCTAGATGATCAACTATATAATTTTACTTAGATTTTAACAGCAAACACTACTAAGATTTCTTATTCAATTCTGATTCGTATCGCGGATCGAACAGACATAATAATTGCAAGTCGCGTAATAGTCATTGCTAGAATGCGTTTGATGCAAAATGATTTTCTCACGATTGTCTGCTCTCGATAACGAGCGGCGCAAATCGCCTATTATGATTCCGGGGCCGTGATCACGATAACGTTAGTTAGAGAATAAGACTAACGTGTGTGCTCTATCGTGAATCAACGTTAATTCGAAGACACGTTCGCGTGCGGCGAATTATTCGAATCTCTTCCTTTTTACGAGAAATCGACGGCGCGAGAGAAACCGCGATCGAATGAATTTAGAACAGGGGTCCATAGCAGCTGGGTTTAAGTATCTCTCCAGAGGGGAAACTGATTCTAATCAAAGCACTTACGATTCTATACTATTATTATAGGTTTTCAAGCCAAATATAATAGAAGGATTAAGCTTTTGTGTTTTTGAATGAACCAAAATGCATTAATAGACAAGCGATAATCATCATGAAATTTTTATATTTATTTTTATCATTTAATACTTTATCAGTTTTTATTACAATATATGAAAAATTAAATTAATAATTTCTTTTCGCTAGTAATACCTAATTTTACAATTTCATTATCCGCTCATAATTAACTTTATAATTTTTAACTTTACAAGCTTTTTTCATGGCTAATATAAATTCATTGCTCTTTTATACATTTCTTTTTCCGCATAATAGAAAAATGGATTTAAAATATTGTTTTTTATATACATGATAATAATTTTTTTAGACTAATATGGAAACTTAGTTAAAAACTGGATTTATTACATTTATTATCGCTGCTTTATTTCTTCAGTAAGATTTTTATTATTTTGAACTAATTTTCATCTAAATTTTACCTAATTATATTTTGCATATATAATTTTATCGTATTATACAGGGTGTCCCAAAATTATCGGACACTCTTAAATAGGGAGATTTCTAAGATTATTTAGAGACGATTTTTCTTCAGCAAAAATTTCGCGGAAGATCATCATTTTTTATAATGATCTTTATAAGCCTTAAATTAAAATTCTACTAAAGTAAACTCTACCTGAAATTAATTGAAGAACGTGATTTTGTTAATATTTTATTTCCACAAGGCTTAGTTTGCGAAAAACTTTATTTTCAACCGC